GTTAGAGTTGTCAACTTGTTATTTATGTTAGAGTTGTCAACTTGTTATTTATGTTAGAGTTGTCAACTTGTTATTTATGTTAGAGTTGTCAACTTGTTATTTATGTTAGAGTTGTCAACTTGTTATTTATGTTAGAGTTGTCAACTTGTTATTTATGTTAGAGTTGTCAACTTGTTATTTTATCTTGTATTTTGTTTGTTTGTAGTTAAGCACAAAGCTACACAATGGGCTATCTGTGCTCTGTCCACCACGGGTATCGAAACCCGGTTTCTAGCGTTGCAAGTCCCCAGACATACCGCTGTGCCACTGGGGGGGGGGGCTTGTATTTTGTTAATCATTCCCGAGTCTAACCACATTGCACAGATTTCATTTGGATCAGGAGTGTCTCATAGAACGAAACGTCCAGATATACCGCTGTGCCACTGGGGGCCTTGTATTTTGTTAATCATTCCCGAGTCTAACCACATTGCACAGATTTCATTTGGATCAGGAGTGTCTCATAGAACGAAACGTCCAGACATACCGCTGTGCCATTGGGGGGCTTGTATTATGTTAATCATTCCCAAGTCTAACCACATTGCACAGATTTCATTTGGATCAAGAGTGTCTCATAGAACGAAACGTGGAATTTTGTTCCTTCCGACCAATTTTTTTCTAGCAAATTTCATCTGTTGCTCATAAAAAAAAATTATTTCTCTTTAATCAAATCTATATTTCGGTCATTATTTATAACATTTGTAGCAGACATTCCAAGAAGTCTGTACTAGTCATCAAACACCAAAGTAAAACCTGCGTAACTAAGCATAGAGTTGTAAAAACTATTTAGTGTTAACATCTTATTGTAAGACGGCAAACAATGCAATAAGAAATTTTCTCCAAAAACAATTAAAAACATCCGCAACGCCACCTGTGAAATTTCATTAAAAAATGCTGTTAAAGGTGCAGAAAGTGAAGTATACCTAGGTGTGTAAACTGGTGTTTATAGTTTTATTCTATCGAACATTTTAAATATCACAAAAAAAAACCAGAATGGTAGTCCACATATTATTACATGTACATTTACTAGAAATATGGTTAGCATCTTCTTAGATAGACGTGATCATTCGAACAACAACCACAAAAACGAAGAAAAATACAAGTTTATAAATCTTGATTTAGTAAGTCATTTCTTCGGAAGTTCGGAGGACAAAACGCTAGACATATTAACACTGAAGTAGGAGATTTTCCACTGGGTCTTTGGCCGTCAAACAGAAACAATGGTTACACGTCTATTTTCAAGCACAGTTTCTGTGTGTTTCAACTTACACCATAGTAAAGCAGGACCAATACGAGAGAGCGGCTCAGTCTGTCATCACAATACTTACACTCAGCATTGTGACTGTTTGTGTCTTATTATGAATCATTTATATATATATATATATAGGTAGCTTTAAAGGTTAAAAACTTCAAAATCTACGATTTAAAGACCGAAAGCCGACGAAGCGTAAGAAACCAACAGCCTCAAACTTGTGAAACAAATAACATTTAAAAAGCAACAACAACTGTAGTTAACATGATTGTCGTCACAATTACTATGCATATTAATTGTATTTCTTCATTTTAACTATAAAAGTAAGGAATCATAAACGAACACTATCTCAAAAGAGTTGAGCAACATTAAATAAAGTGCTCTGTATGACACTGTCTTAATAGACTCATTTAATTACATTTCGAAAACCTCATGTAAAATAGACACAAGTGCTTTAAGGGCCCTGTTTAGCACTATTTAAAAAAAGCCACATGCCATTACCTCTAGTGCTCTGTTTAATACTGCTTCAAGGACTCTGTTTAATGCCATCTCAAAAGACCCATGTAACATCGTCTCAAACGCTTTGTTTTAACACTGTTTAAAACACCTACGTAACAATGTCCCAGGCGATCTGTATATCACTTTCTAAAGTAGTTTTGGTAACATCTCAGAGTTCTCTGTAACATTTCTTGAAGGATCTTATGTAATACCATCCTAAGATTTTTACAAAACATGTACCAGCTTATTCGAGTTGAGCAACTGTAAAAATTCGACTTTTTTAAATCAGTTTCCCAAACCAGCGAGAGTTGTCACAGAACACTATTTTTCACTGATGTTTATTGCAAATATGTGTCTTACAGTAAATCTCCAGTCTGCTAACAGCATCTTCTTGACGTGTCCACTGGTAATCGTCGCTGTGAGTGCTTTTTTTTTTTCTTGGATGTAATTTGAACGTGCTGAGCGATTGTTTGGAGCCGTTTCTGTTTATCAGTATTA